TTAAAATGCAGGGGGCGCCATGCTGTCTCTGAGGTCTCTAGGAAAGAGTACTTCTTGGATGCTTCTAGCTTCTGGTAGTTGCCAGCAATCCCTAGTGGCTGGCTTGCAGATGCAACACTTCAATCGACATCTCCAATCTTCACGTGGCCTCCTCTCCTGTGTGTCTGTGTCCAAATTTCCTTCTTCTTAGAACTCCAGTCATATTGGAATAGGGCACACCTTGGGCCCTACAGGAAGTAGGGCCCTGCGCTTATGATCCCATTTAACCTGAATTACCTCCTAAAACCCTTATCTCCAAATACATCTCTTCTTAGCTTGATTACATCTGCAAGACCCTATTTCCCAATAAGGTCATATTCACAGGTTCCCAGTGAACATGAAGTTTGAGGGACACTGTAACACTATTAAACCCACTACAGACATCTTCTTGACCTGAGAACTGTGAATATGTAGTACACTGAAATTTTCCTCAGCCAGTCCTTTTATGGGGAAAAGCAGTTTTATTGCCTTGACCTTAACAGTTCATTGGAGGAAGGTGTTAGGGTAGGAGATGAATGAGATGACCATTCAAGAGTGTGTCCATCTGCACTGGGAGGAGGGTCTCATCACACAGAGAAGACCCGCAAGTCATGGAGCCAAGACAGTCAGGGAAAGGGACAGGATAGAAAGGGTTAGGTCTCTACACCCTGGTGACCACCTTTAAAATTTCAGAGTTGGAAGGTTGCCATAACAAACTACCATGGGCCACGTGGCTTAAATAATGAAAACTTATCTTCTCAACATTTCTGAGGGCTGGAAGGACAAGATCAGGGTGCCAGAATGGTTATTTCTGGTGAGGCTCCTCTCCTTTGCCATAGACGGCGCCCTTCTTGCTGTGTCGTCACATGGCCTTTGCTCTGTGAGTGCCCATCCCTGGTATCTCTCTTCTTTTAGGAACACTAGTCCTCTAGGATTAGAGCCCTGCCTTTCTGATCCCATTTAACCTGAATTACCTCCTAAAAGCCTTGTCTCCAAATACAGTCACAATGGGGATTAGGACTTCAACATATGGGTTTAGGGACGATGCAGTTCTGTCACAGCAGACAGAACCTGGAAGTCATTGCACAGATGAGGACCGTTCTGCCAGGTCCAGAGATTTGATAAAGGTCTCTCCGGTTGGAAAGGGCCTCATGTTCCTGATGCTGCTCCATTCTGCTAGAGTCTTGAGTTGAGTCTTTTGACTTTCCTTTTTGCTTTACTCTTCTCAAAACACAGAAAAATAAGTAAATCTGTCTTAAATAAACAAACATAGATGGCAACCCCTTCATTTTGACTTATGCCTAAAGACGATACATAGGAGTTTGAGCTAAAGTCTCCTTTGAGGCAGAAACTAAACAACATGCGTAACCCACGTTGGATTCCTCATGAACCCAGCACTGGTCTTACACATAGTAGGCATGCATTAAGTACAGATACTAATAAAAAAATTGTATTTAGTACTTATACTAAGTACTTTACATATATTAAGTCATTTAATCCTCTCTAGAATTTAATAGGTAGGTTCTAATATCAGTGGCATTTTGCAGATAGAAAAATCAAGGAGGCCAGGCTTGGTGGTTCACGCCTGTAATCCCAGCACTTTGGGAGGCCAACGTGGGCAGATCACGAGGTCAGGAGATGGAGACCATCCTGGCTAACATGGTGAAACCCTATCTCTACTAAAAATACATAAAAAAAATAATTAGCCAGGCCTGGTGGCAGGTGCCTGTAGTCCCACCTACTGGGGAGGCTGAGGCAGGAGAATGGCATGAACCCAGGAGGCAGAGCTTGCAGTGAGCCTAGATCACGCCACTGCACTCCAGCCTGGGTGACAGAGCAAGACTCTGTCTCAAAAAAAAAAAAAAAAAAAAAATAAAAAATAAAAAATAAATCAAGGCACAGGGAGGTTTATTAATTTATTCAAGTTTCATTAATGTATAAATGAGTGAATGGATCAAGGTATTTAAAGACTGCTCTAAGTTCTATGCTTCAATGCTGCATAGCCATATCTTTTATTTTATTTATGATATTTGGATATAGATTTTTTTATGTATTTAGGAGGGGATGTTATTGTTTGATTACTGTTGTTAAAGGTAAGAGAATACCAGGCAAATCACACTAATAATAAAGTCACTAACCATAAATATTCAACTCTTTATGTCAGTGTATTTATATCATGACCCAGTATACATACTTACTTATACTAAAACAAGTTTCCCAAAAATAATATTTAGCCTCACTATATACAGTAATGTCTTCTGCTATTTTCTCTTGTATCCTATTTTAGTCTATTTAGTTTGACTATTCAATGTCTTTTTTTAATGCAGATCATGACCAACCAAGTAGATTCCAAGAGCCACAATCCAGTCACAGTCAGCTGTTTGAAAAACAACACTACTATGTATATACAGCATCAATGTATCTCATATAGAGCATCTATATTATATATTTATATACATATTACATTTTTCTCAACAACATACATGTGCATATATACACCTAATAAGTAGATTTTTCTTTTTCCCTCAGTTGCTGAAGTTCAGGAGTATAAAGATGTTATAATAGGTGTACATTTTAAAGCTTTCAGAATGTTAAAAAAAAAATGCTTTGTTGTTACCCTGAAGTAAAAGGGACTAACATATTTCAGAGGTTTAGGCTTTGGAAAGTCATTCAATTTTTCCTCAGTCCTCTCTCACAGTATGTTTCCTTTTGTGGGATGTGACTTTCCTAATAGGAACATATTTTATAGTTAAACAATTCAGGTCAGACATCAGATTGTGTCTCCATTTAAGTACTAAATTGCATCAGACACCAAAATGCCTCCTAAGATTCTGGTGGTGAATCCGAGTTTCTGTGAATGTTCAGAACCGCAGAAAACCCTGTTTACTTAACATGAAATCGGTTACGTAATGAACTTCTGCAGAGGGTAAGATCCAAAGCTGAAAAAGTGATGTGGTTTGATACATTGTCAGAAGCAATAGTGCGACATGGAAGATTTGATCTTCCAATGCTGTGGAGAAAAGAATAAATAAAGGAACAAATTAACATGTGTCTTGGAATGGTGTGCTCAGGAAGGAGATATATTAACAGGCAGGTATAGAACAGTAATAGCGTAGGAAGAGCTAATATATTAAAAGGGACGATAAAGAGATAGGTTTGAAGTCTTCCCTATTTATATATTATTTTTAAATATGCCAAAGAAAAAGAACCAGTGCACACCCAGTTGAACTGAAATGTTGTTTCCTGAAAATATTCAGATCTTATTTAGAGTAGTAAATGTTTTAAGAAGACCAGAGGCATACAAGTAAGCATATCACCACAGAATTTAAAAGTTGTGAGAACTCCTTTTTAAAGAGTCCTGTTGATAGCAGTTTCCTTTCCCTCAAAAAAAAAAAAACGTTAGTTCCCTTGCCCTTTTTTCTTCCGAAAGCAAGTTACAGTTGTCTTTGGATGAGACATGCCGAGAGAGGCTTCTACCGGCACTGGGTCATCCAACACGTTATTTGTACGCAGCACTGAGTCCACTTCATCAGAACAGTGCTCCTAAAGCTGGCAAATTTGTGCACTCCACTCCCTGAGGATCCTCCTGGAAGCCTGGGGTAAGTCAGGGAGGGGCCGACAAAAGATGCTAATACTGCAAATAGATCACCTGTTTGTGGTTTATCAAGACTTTAGTCCATTGATTCTCAAACTTGAACCGGCATCAGAAACACCTAGAGGGCTTGTGAAACCCCGGACTGTTGAGCCCATCCCCAGGCTTCTGATTCAGTGGGTCTGGGGTGGGACCAGAGACTTTGCGTATTCAACAGTTACCAGGTGCTGCCTGCTGTGCTCTGGAACACACTTGGAGAATCACTGCTCTGGTTCCATTCTGTGGAGTTAGGACACTTAATATCAAATTAAGGTGTAGCGCCTCCCTGATTTCTTTAGAGACACCAGCTACAAGCTGGTGATCCAATTGACTGAAGGCCAAAGATCACAGATGAAAATGACCGGCAAATAAGTACAAAAGGCAACTATTATAATCACAAAAATGCTGTGAGGTTCTCAAGGTTGTATCTTTCAAGAAGGGAAGGGAAAAGAAAGTTGTATGAGACTTAATGACCATACAAGTACATGGTGCGGACCTCATTCTCCCTTTTCAATAAATAGCTGACATATCCTCGTGTCACCAAAGAGCAAGAGAGGTGGCACATGGATCATACAAGCAAAGTGTAATTTATCTGCAGCTAAAAATAAAGATTTCAGAGTACAAGTGCTGTGAAACACAGGAGATGTTAAAACAGAAGGAGAAAGAGAGATAAGGAGAGAAAAAGCGAGAGAAAGAAAGGGAAGTGGAGCAGGGTCATTGAGAGAAGCAGTCCTCTGGCGAAGACAGCCCCGTCTCTCTGAAATAGTTTATCAGCTGATTCGGGGGCAGGAGGCTGACTTGCAGCAAGCTTCAATGTGATTCCATTTCCCACAATGCCACAGGGTGGTTCACACAGAACAAAGCTCCGCTTCTTTACCTAAGAGTGCCAGGTAAGCCGTCGGAAACAGCCACCGTCAGTGGGAGGAAAGCAGATTGCTTTAAGAGAAAAAGGCTTTATTAAAATTCAAAGAAAAAAATAAGCTGAGATGATTTAGAAAGCATTATGCATTTATTGAACAAACACTGCTAAAGACATTTCAGCAAACTGTGCGTTTAAAAAGTAATAAATAGCTATTGTGCTTACTTCATAAACTTGTCAGACTGTCTTCATTTTATTTTCCTGAACAAACTGAATTTCTGTACTGCTCATCCCCAGCCAGTTAATAAATACATCACCCTAAAAAGTGCTGTGGTATTAAATTTACAGCAGATAAAATATGGATGAAGTTGCTGTGCCTCAGGTACGTCAAGTGTGATTTAATATCTCACACTCCTCTTATGAGGAGTAAAAGATTATTCGACTGCCTCAACCGCCGGAGAGCGAGGTGACCTTTGCCCCCCAAGTAACAGCCACTCAGCAAATAGCACCAAATGAAGACGGAGAATAACACATACATTTGCCGTAAGAAAAAAATTGATCTAAATCCATATATCAAATCTGCTGATCAGAGCTCTAGAGAAATGCTTCACAATCCTTAGCAAGCACTTGCAGGAACTTTGAGCAGAAAGAAGACCTTCCTGAAGGTATATAAGATATTTTGGTTTTTCAAATTTTTACTTTATTACTAGTATCCTTATTGGTCTTTCATATCATTGGAATAAAATCTCCTTAGAAGAAAATGCTCTTTGACTTAATGTCTTAGTGGTGAGTATTTTCCTCTCTCTGGAGAAACTGTAACCTCTTTGAGCATTTCAGAGATCCAGAGAATCTTATAAATGAAGGCGTTGTTCCCCAGCGAAATTTCTCAACAATCTGATTTAATTTATATCTTTTTTAAAAGTTCCATCTAAAATGATAAAAAAAAAAAATCTCCAAGGAAAACGTTTGTTAGCACAGAAAATAAATTCTTATCATTAACATTCTGCCATCCAAAAAGGCTGGTGACTGAGAGAGTCCTCTACACTTCAAAGGTAGGAGAGGAATGAGTTTTAAAATAAGGGTAAAAAAAAAAAAAGAAGCAAATTACTGCTGAGCTATTTTGATTTCAAATATATAAAAGTAGAGTTGGTAAGTGCCATGTATAAATCTTCAAAGTGCGGATTGCCAAGGGTCTTCCTCTAAAGACTGCTGTGAAAAAATAAACTTCGGCAATTAAAGCGGCTTTTTCCTTTCGCCATGAAGTGAGGGAAGTGGCCGGGTGTCCCAGGGGCTCTCGGTATCCTCTATGTTCCCAGGCAGCGGTGAGCCTTTGCTAATTTCAAAAATCTCTTCAGCTCTGGGCCTTTGCAAATAAAAGCTTCTGTCGCCTCCCCTAAAATGTGACTGCACCACGGTTTGAGGTTTTGTGTTTGTTTATTTGTTTTTCACTGGGCACTTTTGTGCTCAGTTGGTAATTGGTTTTACTGAGCCAGAGGGGGCTGGGGACAAGGTTGTTTATTTCAACTTCCTTCAGTGGTGAATAGTGAGGCATTGGCACTAGCGGATAGGTTCACACAAAAGCTATGATTCTTAAAATACATGAGTTTGGAGGGAAATCGTCCAAAAACAGGTAAGAGAGGGGATTGAGTAGGGTGGTTTGGTTGGGGGGTGGAGAGGGAGGTGTGTATTTGTGTTTGTGTGTAAGAACCTATTTATAACAGAAGCTTTCCTACCATAAGTGAACATTCTCTTGAAAGCAGATGTGCTGCACAAGCCTGCACCCCCTTCCCAGACTGGCCCAGATGTCAACAGCTGTTCATCTCTGCACCTTTCCAAATAAGTGCTTTCCCCATTCCAACTGTACAATGGATTGGTCAAGGCAGGGTGACATTTCTTGAGTGACAGATGTGCCTACTGCCATGGCAGCACCGGCCCTCCCACTTGCTGGCGATCTCTGGTTCCAGGAGGAGCAGTAATGTCTCCTTTGCTTGCCTCTGTGGGGAGAGGTGAACACGGCTGGCTCAGGGTGGGGTTTAAGAGAAACCACTGGGAAGAGAGGAAAACAGAGACCACCTCCTTATGCCAGGGATTATTTTCTTTTTAAAATATATATGTGCAAATTGCAAACATAGAAGAATTCAAGCCAACTGGCAAGGATCTAGAGGTTGTGCAGGGCTGGGAAGCTTTTAAAGGCATGCAGCTTCAAATCCCATGACAGAAAGCCTCCTCATGTCAGTCTTTTTCAAATTGACCAGACAGGGAAGGAAAATTGCAATGGGACCACCGATGAAAGGAAAATGATGTCCTGATTTCTAAATATCAAAACAGACTCCAAAGGCTAATTTCTCCTTTTCAAGCTGCTATTTTATTTTTATTTTTTGTTTCCCTCCTGTCCCCAGCTTATATTAATAAATCATCTTGTCAACTGTTTCTCAGTGTGGAATGTGTTCCTCAAAAATCTTCTGGGAAATCAGGCTCCCAGGGGATTTACATGCACCTTGTGCTGTGATGACCAGCAAGAGCCCGGCCTGAGTAGGTCCTGCAGGGAGTCTCTTCAATTAAGGGTCTTCCTTTTTCTTTTCATATAGGTTGAATAGATCTACATGTGAGCAATATTGACTGAGGTTCTGCCCTGTATTTGCAAAACTAGCTTTGGGAGGAATAAACTTGACTAACTGGAAATGATCCCATGGTACTTAATTAGCATTTCAAAACCAAAGTGGCCATTTATTTTCTAATTTTTTTAAAAAGCTAACAATACCATTAATCATTCCTTTTATGAGTCTTGATAATGGCTGTTTACTTCCAATAAATTAATATTACACTGACAGGGACGTAACACTCTTGCATATCATAGCATTGTTGCTTTCAACAGGCCACAACATCCATTTCTGAAGTTCTATCCTGAGAAACCCGAATACAGGTGTCACACAAAATCTTGCAACTCCTGGTGCTTCAGGTCAGAGGCACCAGTTTTGATTTTTGCCTACCTCTCCTCTGCTAAGGCCCTTCCCTGGAATGTGCCCTCTTCGCATCAACCTGTGACCGATAAGACATGATCTCAGCACTTAACGTTTCTAATCCAAAAACCTACTCCGGTCCTACTGTCAAATGAAGTTGCAACTAATCGTTTATTGTTTACAGTTTTGCTTTGTTTTTAATTCAACTTAAAACCCAGGTCACTTGCTGGTGTACTTTTTAGTAGATTTTATTTTTTAGAACAGAACTTTAGAGTCTTCCTGGTACATTTTTAATATTGTCTTTAGATTTGTTTTGTCATTCAATCAATGTCACTGAATATATTTAGAAATTATAAATCATGACTTTTGAGCTGTATGGACGAGAATCTGCAGTCCTGAAGCAATGATGAAGGAAAAAATATCATTCAGAATTGTAACGATGCTGTGATTAAAATATATATATATGAAAAGCTAAAGAAAAGAACAGACATAGAAATAAAGATCCTTAAAATTTATAAAGAAACTACATTATTCCATGTTGTCCTTAGGGGAAAAAAAACCTTATAGATAAAATTAGTGGATGAAAAGGAAAAAGTATTTTTACAGTATTTACTATATGTGTATACACACACATCTACTGGCCCCTCTAAACTGTTGTACCAAATAATACCCTTCATATCCATTTAGGAGAGAACACCCACTTTCACAAATATGAAAAATGCTGATTATTCTCATTCTTTTAAATTTGTAATAATTTGTATCATGCTTGATGTTGTAATTAACTGATTTCTGATGTTTGAAGTTTTTTGCATATATTTTTCTCCAGTGACCTTCTTCATGACCTTATTTGTCTGTTGGGATATTCCTTTTCTTCTTATTGATGTAGAAAAGCTGTTTTATATTTAAGAATGAATGTTAAGTTTTGTCATTTAATTACAAGAATGTTCTCCAAGTTTGTTATTTGCCTTCTATTTTTAAATTAATTTTGCTTTGTTAGTTGTTATTGTAATATAGAAACTAGGGGCGAGAGTTGCTTAATTTTTGTGAATTATAATATGGTAGAATGTATTAGACTTTCCTTTACACTTTCCGTCTCTAGTGTAATTCAGTGTAGGTTCTCCCATCCACTTCAATATTATGTATTCACCTTGTATTAGTCAGGGTTCTCCAGAGGGACAGAACTAATGGAATACATATATAATCACAGCACTTTGGGAGGCTGAGGCAGGTGGATCACAAGGTCAGGAGATAGAGACCATCCTGGCTAACACAGTGAAACCCCATCTCTACTAAAATACAAAAAAATTAGCCAGGAGTGGTGGCGGGCGCCTGTAGTCCCAGCTACTCGGGAGGCTGAAGCAGGAGAATAGCGTGAACCCAGGAGGTGGAGCCTGCAGTGAGCTGAGATCGTGCCACTGCACTCCAGTCTGGGCGACAGACCGAGACTCCATCTCAAAAATAAATAAATAAATAAATAAATACTATGTATGTGTGTATATATATAAAGGGGAGTTTACTAAGTATTGACTCACACAATTATAAGGTCCCACAATAGTTTGTCTGTAGGCTGAGGAGCAAGGAGAGCCAGTCTGAGTTTCAAAACTGAAGAACTTGGAGTCTGATGTTCAAGGGGAGGAAGCATCCAGCACAGGAGAAAGATGTAGGCTGGGAGGCTAGGCTAGTCTCTCTGTTTTCACATTTTTCTACCTGCTTTTATTCTAGCTGCACTGGCAGTTGATTAGGTGGTGCCCACCTAGATTACAGGTGGCTCTGCCTTTCCCAGCCCACTGACTCAAATGTTAATCTCCTTTGGCAACACTCTCACAGACACGCCCAGGATCAATACTTCGTATCCTTCAATCCAATCAAGTTGACACTCAGTATCAACCATCACAAGTCCACCCCTTGTCAACTTGAACCATATACATTTCCTGAGATCATACATAATCTTCAAATAAAGACAATAATAAGGTCATAATTACACCTAGCATAATACAGCTATGCTTTGTACAACCGGAAACATACCAATCCCCAACCCAAATATTATTACATAAAGTTAACAATACTTAAATGATGATGTGAACTCAATAAATCTTGTATCACATAATAGAGAAGAAAGGAAATAAAATATTTTCCTAGTCCAAGTGTATATATGCACAAACATATTTTTAACAAAAGAAGGAAGAAATACTCCTGACAATTACAGTCCTCACTTCTGCACTGGGTCACGCAGTCGTAGCTGATATTGATGACTACCTTCTTCTACCCATTCTGTATTCCCTTTGCCTTCAGCAAGCATCTCAGCATGTCATGGTGTTTTTCCTGGTGGAGTGACCCAAATATTCATTCCTGAGGGGTCTGGGTCATTTATAGTCCTGCTGGATTGGGATATTGTAGTTCCCCATTGACCTTAATCACAGGGCATGGTAATACTAAGAGATGCCCTAATGGATCTCCTGTATTCAATGTATACCCTTCCTTATCTCTGTTGTGGAGTAGTAGACTGATTTCATCTTGATAGTCGGATTGATCACCCCAACCAATACCGTAACTCCCTACTTAGCCTGTTGACTTAAAGGTAGGAGGAACCCAAAGCATCCAGGTGGTAATCTTATCTTCCAGTTTAATGGAATCGTTTTGTGTCTCCTGGTAGCAATGTTCATCCCTCTGGAACTAAGACGTCTAGGCCAGCAGAATGTAATGTTGTGGAAACAGGAAGCAAAAATTTGCTAGTGGATCACTAGGGGTGATGGTGAGTGGTGCCACTTCCACTTCTACCCCTTGATTTCTGGACCTCTGAATCCTGGCTATGGGAGAAACAGTACCATATATTGGACACTGATTCAGAGCATACGTGGCCTTCTGGAGAACTTTGTCCCAGCCCTGAAAAGTATCATTACCTAGTTGGCATTGTAATTGTGACTTCAAAAGGCTATTCCACTGTTCTATCAATCCAGCTGCTTCAGGATGATGGGGAACATGGTAAGACCAGTGAATTCCATGAGCATGAGCCCACTGCTGCACTTCTTTAGCTATAAAGTCAGTGCCTTGGTCAGAGGCAATGCTGTGTGGAATACCATCACCATGGATAAGGCATTCCGTGAGTCCACAGACGGTAGTCTTGGCAGAAGCATTGCATGCAGGATACGCAAACCCATATCCAGAGTCAGTATCTATTCCAGTGAGGACAAGTATCTGCCCTTTCCATGACGGAGGAGGTCCAATATAATCAACCTGCCACAAGGTAGCTGGCTGATCACCCTGAGGAATGGTGCCATACCAAGGGCTCAGTGTTGGTCTCTGCTGCGGGCAAACTGAACACTCAGCAGTGGCCATAACCAGGTCAGCTTTGGTGAGTGGATGTCCATTTTGCTGAGCCCATGTGTAATGTCCATCCCTGCTACCATGGCCATTTTGTTCATGGGCCCACTGGGGGATGACAGGGGTGGCTGGGGAAAGAGGTTGAGTTGTGTCCACAGAATGGTTCATCCTATCCACTTGATTATTAAAATCCTCCCCTGCTGGGGTCACCCACTTGTGAGCACTCACATGGGATACAAATATCTTCAGAATTTTTGACCTCTCAGAGAGGTCCATCCACATACCTCTTCCCCAGATTTCTTTGTCACCAATTTCCCAATCATGCTTCTTCCAAGTCCCTGACCACCCAGCCAAACCATTGGCTACAGCCCATGAATCAATATATAATCGCTCATCCGGCCATTTCTCCTTTCATGCAAAGTGCACAACCAGGTGCACTGCGTGTAATTCTGCCCACTGGAAAGATTTCCCTTCCCCACTGCCCTTCAGGGACATCCTAGAAAGGGGCTGTAGTGTTGCAGCTGTCCAGTTTCAGGTGGTACCTGCCTATCGTGCAGAACCATCTGGGAACCAGGCCCTAGCCTTCTCTTCCTCTGTCAACTGAACATACAGAACTACCATTGAGGCCATCTGAGCAGGCTGGGGAGAGAAGGCAGGGTGGCAGGAGTGGAGACCATGGGCATCTGAGCTATTTCCTCATGAAGCTTACTTGTGCCTTTGGGACTTGCTGGAGCCTGATCACATATATACCACCTCCATCTGATGATGGAATGCTGCTGTGCATGATCCACTTTATGGCTAGATGGGTCAGAAAGCACCCAGTTCATGATAGGCAGTTCAGGTCGCATGGTGACTTGATGACCCATAGTCAAACGCTCAGTTTCCACTAAAGCCCAGTAACAGGCCAAGAGCTGTCTCTCAAAAGGAGAGCAGTTATCTGCAGAAGACGGTAGGGCCTTGCTGCAAAATCCTAGAGGCCTACGCTGTGATTCACCTATGGGAGCCTGCCAAAGGCTCCAAACAACATCCCTATCTGCCACTGACACTTCAAGTACCATTGGATCTGCTGGGTCATATGGCCCAAGTGGCAGAGCAGCTTGCGCAGCAGCCTGGACCTGTTGCAGAGCCTTCTCCTGCTCTGGACCCCACTCAAAACTGGCAATGTTTCAGGTCACTTGATAAATGGGCTGGAGCAACACACCCAGATGAGGAATGTGCTGCCTCCAAAATCCAAATAGGCCCACTAGGCATTGTGCCTCTTTCTTGGTTGTAAGAGGGGCCAAATGCAGCAACTTATCCTTCACTTTAGAAGGAATATCTCAACAGGCCCCACACCACTGGATGCCTAGAAATTTTACTGAGGTAGAAGGCCCCTGAATTTTAGTTGGATTTATTTCCCAT